GTTATGATTATTTTGGTAATTTATTTCATAATATCTGTCAGCGAGTATGTCTGTAACAATACAGACTTAAAAAAAAAAAGAGTCTGTCCTCCACCCCACTAGCCATTCTGAACCCCCCAGCAGCCCTGTGTGCCCCACTCTGTCCTAACCTGGCTCTATAGGCAGGGTGCTGTGATGAACTCTGCTCTGGGGGAATTCTACAGCACCGGGCATAGAATTTTGTATTTTCCCACATAAAAAACATTTTGCCTAAGAAGTGCTGCAGTTCTGCCTTTTTCCACCAGAGGCCACTGTGGCGTTAGACCAGCAGAGCTGGCTCTTCTGGTGCCACAGCGGCCTCTGGTGGGAAAAAGGCAGAACTTCAGCACTTCCTAGGCAAATATCAGGGGGTAGCCGTGTTAGTCTATATCCACAAAAACAACAAGGAGTCCGGTGGCACCTTAAAGACTGACAGATTTATTTGGGCATAAGCTTTTGTGGGTAAAAAACCCACTTCTTCAGATGCATGGAGTGAAAATTACAGATACAGACATAAATATACTGCCACACGAAGAGAACACCTTATAAGTGGACAACCACTTCTTCTTAGCCAAACTGTATTTTATGTGGGAAAATACAAAATTATGCGCGACAGATGAATTCTGCCCATCCACAGATGCGAAAAATTCACCCAGGAGTAATTTGATTGAAAGACTCTTATCATGTCTGTTACCATTAAATACTATGTGTGGGAATAGGACAATACTCTCAAGCACCTTATGGCCATGTTCAGTTTTTTCCAAACGCATGCAAATTAAGGACACCTGTACGTTACTCACTAGCATACTTAAGCACTCCTGTTTGCTCCTGGAACTACTTTCCCAGGGGCATGTTTGTACATCCTAGTTGTTCTATCTGCCCCAAGGTTCACATTTTGGTGGAGAAACTTGACGCTGTACTTTTTTCAAGCCATTCTATAGAGTAGAGGTGAAAATGCTCTGATGCCCCTAAAACACAGAGCCGGAGCTTGTGTAAACTGGCGTCACTCCGCTGACACTGAGGAACTGGCCCAGACACTCTTATTCCCCTGCGTCTGAAAGGGCCATGTTTACAGGAGAAATTACATTTACATTTTCACACTCGTGTCAATATTTTTATCTCATTTCTTTACTCAAAATGTTCAGTGTTTGTCTCAGACATCAATGTCAGCGATCATGGGCCATAACAGGTGTCCCGGATCCACGGGATTAGTGCTGCAGTTCCCCCAGTTTTGGAACAGTCTCTAGGAGGAATCCCGTCGGTGTGCCGGACTCCCTCAGGGTCTTGCTCTTCCTCCAGTGTGAGCCACACGGCTTCACCATCTCCTTAAACTGCACCGCTGGGTTCTCACGAGCCCTGTTCAGTGAGATCGACTGAGGCAGACCCCTGCTGGAGGCTCGTCCACTCTTCAGGGATTCATGCTCCTTGCCCAGCGTTTGCAGCGGCATTCACAAACCAGTAGGGTTTATTCATTGCCTGGAACACAGCATAGGTAGACGTGGCGAAATACAAAGCTCAGGTTACATGCCTTGACTGAGGCCCGGTGATTTCCTTAGGGTTCTGTCTGAAGAACATGCTTCGGAATTCAGAAATCCAGAGAAGAGGGGATGTGGGGAATGCACTAAATTAGCCGGGAGCCTCTCAGAAGAGTGTCTCCAACCCACTCGCCGGGTGCTCAGAACAATTCAGAGTAGCGTTTTGTTGTTCTGACGTTACCGAGTTCCATAAAAATCCCTCATTGGGTCTGAAATCCCTTCTTTTGTTTTCAAAAGAGAAGATGCCATCTTGTACGTAATTCAACCTTATATCATCAGACACTGCCCTCTAGAGTTAAGCTCGTGTCACTGTTTAGTGGGCACAAGGGGGTGTTTTTAAGCTGTTGAGTTACACGTGATTTTACCCCAGGTCAATATAGTTAAGAGTATAGAGAAGCAAAGTCTGGGAGGGTAACTCGTTATAACTGTTTCGGTATCAATTCAAGGAGGTGACTCCCCCACTATTTTTAGTCACACGTGGTTCTTCCTGCACAAACAC